ACCATGCCAATTGCCACCCAATCTCTAAACCAAGAGATCAACCCTCTCAAACCCGAGAGAAATCCTTTTTGAAGCAAGAACACAATTGATCCTATAAGCCTTGAATGTGTATTGAAGTGCTGCAGTGGCTTAGGATTCTTTTAACTCTCTGAATATTGCCTATACAATCTCTAAGAATGATTGAAACCAAGGCAATATCAGAAACTCTCTTTTTCTAAACACTTAGCATGAAAATCTGGAAAATTAGAGAGTGAATATGCACAAAATGTTTGATCTTACAAGTGTAAAACTTGGTGCTTGTTTTCTGATGTTTAAACCTATTTATAGCCTCTGAAATGACATAATTTTAAACCCAATTAACGTCCACAAAACGCCTATAAATAGTCACTTATTTTAAACCTGAAATCTGGAAAAACTGCATCTGTAGTCGACTACAGGTCATAGTAGTCGACTACACTGAGTCTAAACAGACTTTGTGAAGTCAGAAAATTGCTCAGTAGTCGACTACAAGGCATAGTAGTCGACTATACTGTAAACTCAGATTCTGGAATTTTTCTGTTTAGTATTTTGACTATAACTTTCTCATCCGATATCAGAATGAGGTGATTTAAGATTTGTTGGAAAGCTCTTGAAGAGACCTACAACTTTGGTCTTTTGAGTTTTTTCAGATTCTAATTTCTAAAGGGTGTAAATAAAATATTTTAAGACTCACTTAATATCTATAAACTCTAATGGCTAACATAGGGGATTTCTATTGTTAACCAACACACTAAGCATGTGTTAGTGTGTTCTAACACTATGTGTGTGCATGTGTGTGAGTGATCAAGGCTTGTACAAATTTCTAAGCAAAGAAAATATAAAATTACATTTTGACAATAAAGTATATCTTCTTCTTTGCTTCATTTTGCCTTGAACCCATCTATGTCTTGAGTATCTCTTTGAATATAATTATTGATATAGCTCTGATACTGCAAAACAAATGTTAGCACATAATACACACAACATATAATATTTGTTATCACCAAAACAAACTAATCTTGGGGTCAAGATTCCTAACATTCTCCCCCTTTTTTATGATGACAAATATATGTTATTAATATATAAAATTTTTAATCCTCCTGCATGAAATCATTAAATAAAATCTTTTACTCCCATTGCATCAAAGCATTAGTAAAAATTTTAAAATTAAAATTTTCTATATAGCTCCCCCTTTGTCATTAGCAAAAAGAAATAAACATAATTCTAATTAATTTTTTTTTCTTGGGTACCTTAATAAAAATATCAAGCACTTTGGTACCCTTTTATATTATATCATTAGGATTAGCCCTTAAGAATCCAAATCCACTTGGAATTTGGTTTCCATTTGTTAACATAAGTGTAATTCTTTGAATTGCAAACTTCATAAATATAAGATGAAATATAATAATTCCTATCATGAATATTCAAATTCTTAGGAATCCATATATACTTATTTTGTTTAGCATGAATATTCTTATTATTATTCTTCAAAACATAATCATTCTTTATAAAATACTTAGGAACAAATCCAATGCCAAAATGATTGTTTGAAGATTTTTGAAATGAGAGCAAATTATTCAAATTCTCTTTACTTTTATTGAATTTACTAACATTCAAACATATATCATCATATTTTAATTTAATAGAAGAAATATCTTTATCTAAAACATTAATGCGGATTTTTAAATCATTGCATTCTGATTTTAGATAAACATTCTCATTAGTCAAAATATGATTTTCTTTAAGCAAGGATTTATTTTCCTCTTTCAATTCAATTACTTGAGAATTAGAAATAGTAGAAGAATTAAAATCAGAAATTTCTTCAAGTAATCTTTTATTTTCACCTTTAAGAAAATTATGTGAAGCCTTTAATCTCAAAAATGTTTCATATAATTCATTGAAAGCATCTAATAATTCTTCATTATTGCATACCTCATCTTCTTGTGCCATGAAGCACATGTGAGTGGATTCCTCTTTTTGTTCTTTCATTTTGAATAACTCAAACCTGTGCACAAGAACAGATATTTTAGATTCTTTAACTTTATTTGTACCTTCATGAGTTACCTCAAGTGTATGCCAAATATCGTATGCAGATGTGGCCGTTGACACCCTATTGAACTCATTCTTGTCAAGTGCACAAAATAATGCATTCATTGCTTTTGAATCCAAATTTGCATTATTTCTTTGAGAAGTAGTCCATTCTGCAAAAGGAGTTGTTGGCTTCTCATATTTTGTTTCCACGACGTTCCAAAGTTCGTAGCCAATTGATTGAAGGTAAATCTTCATTCTGCACTTCCAATAGTTGTAGTTCGAACCATCGAACATTGGAGGACGATTTGTAGAGTGACCTTCTTCCATGACGTTCCAAAGTTCGTAGCCAATTGATTGAAGGTAAATCTTCATTCAGCACTTCCAATAGTTGTAGTTCGTGCCATCGAATAGAGGTGGTCGCTGTGTGGAATATCCCTCTTTGAATTGTGATGTATTTATTGATGCCATCTTTTACCTTGCTCTGATACCAAATATAGGATCTGAAATAGATACACTAGAACACTAGAAGGAGGGGTGAATAGTGTTCTTTTAAAATTATTGCAAAGTAGATAATAAATTGCAAAGAAAAATGGTAATCTCAGAAATTTGCAAACACAAACACAAGGATTTTATACTGGTTCCACCAATCCGGTGTACATCCAGTCCCCAAGCAAATTCAAGATAAACCTCAGCCCAATTAACTTGAATATTTCCCATAATCTTGTTACAACAAGTTTTCTCTCGGTTGTGAGAGGGTTAATCTCTTGGCTTAGAGATTGGGGTTCAAATTGGCAAGGAGTTTGTCAATTGGTGTTGCAATTTGCAGGGACTTGCAAATTGGTCAGGTTTGCGTTTGATTTTGTAAGTTTATTCAAAATCATAGTGGAAACTTTCAAGCGGGATTTGCTTGGGGACTGGATGTACACCGGATTGGTGGAACCAGTATAAAATCCTTGTGTTTGTGTTTGCAAATTTCTGAGATTGCCATTTTTCTTTGCAATTTATTATCTACTTTGCAATAATTTTAAAAGAACACTATTCACTCCCCCTCTAGTGTTCTAGTGTATCTATTTCAGATCCTACACATTAAACTTGAACTTGGTAGCGGATGAAACACGATAGCGAGTCTTGACTTGAATGGGCAAAGCTTCATTCCCAATTTCACTAACATCCAAGATATCAACGTTAAGGCGTAAATCCTTCCAACCTTCGTCCTGGATGCATGTTAGAAGAAAACACAAATACTAGAAAACAAGATTAGAAATTTTTTGTTAATCATCAAAATGAGATTAGACAATAGGCTCATAAATATAAGACCTAATAAGACACACCCCTACAAATAGGGGTGTCAAACGGTTCAGTTTTATCCGAACCGATTCACATCTGTATCCGAACGGATGCAGATATGGTAAACCATTTTTAAAACCAGGAGAATACGGTTTTGGACACGGATCTGGTTCCTGTTTTTGGATACGGATCCGGATACAAATATGAGTGTAAGATTCGATTGCGGATACGGATATCCGCAATTTAGTAAACATAAGGATTCAGGTCCATTTAGGTATCCAAAGTTTCAAACCCGTAACCACTAACCAACCCAAAATGCCAAAACCCAACTAAGAAGTAAAAAACCCTAAGGTCGCCACCCGCCACACGCCGTCGCATGTCTCGTTGTCCGCCTCATCCAGTTCGCACGTCGTCGTACGCCTCATCCAGTTCGCACGCCGTCAGATCTCGCTGTCACCCACCTCGTCTTCGCCCACCGCCTTGTCTTCGCTGCACGCCATCGATCCGCCGCGGCCCGTCTCGTTTCGTCGCCGCCCGCCTCGTCTTCGCCGCACGTCACCGGATCTCTCGCCTCGTCTTCACCTCGTGTTCGAATCGCCTTCCATCGTCGTCAGATCTCGTCGTCTTCGCCTCATCTTCGCTGCACGTCGTCAGATCACGTCGTCGGATCCGTCGTCTGTTCTATAAGGTCGAATCGAAACTCTACTTTTAATTCCATTGTCAATAAGTTATATGTGACTATAAGATTTTTGATTAAGTTTTTTTTTTAAATTTCATTGAATAGAAATCATGTCTATGTTGTATTATATTTTTATCATTTGCGACCACATACATTTATGCAAGGAGAAGCCTACAACCACATACATTTACCCATTTGATTGTAATTTATACATAGGTGTGCTAATTCTTATCCGATTCATATCAATTTGTCGAATACCCATTTCATATCCATGATCGTATGCGATCCGATTCTCAAATATCCGAACAATATCCGTTTCCGATAAGTGCGAACATGGTTAATGTTTTTTCTTATCGAAGATAATCTGTATCTATATCCGTATCTGTTTATTAAAAACGGATATGGATGCGATAAGTGTCATATCTGAACCGTATCCGCTCCGTTAACACCCGTACCTACAAACATAGGTAGAACAATTGTTTGTAAAGAAAAAAAAAAGGAGTTCTTCGCTTGAGAAATATTGAAAACCTTCTTATATATAAAGTTTATCCATCTAAACCTTCTTATATAAAGTTCATCCATCTAAAACCTACATGAAACAAGCCAAAAAGGATTTCATCTTTTCCGAGTTGGGAACGGGCGGAGGGATCTACAATCACAATCCTCCATTAAATAATTTTCCCAGATTTTCGCAAATACTTAAAAGGAAGTACACGTGTGCAGTCTCGAGATGGCTTGCACGATCTCCGTTACAATCAGACCCAAAACCCAATCCTGCCGACGTGGCAGATAAATCGCGGGGCGGTGAACTGCCATCCCTCCCTTCGGTTCACAAGGGAAGATGCTTTAGAATATTCCCCTCCTTCTCTGGCCCGTTGTCCATTAATTCTCCTAATTACCAAAAAACCCCCGAAATAAAAAACTAATTATGAATTAAACCCCTCGGATAAGTCCCATCCCCCCTATATGAACCCCCATCCCCTTCTCCGTTCTAGTCACAGCAAAAATAGTAATAAAAAGAAATCACTTCTTTTAGAAATTCAAGCTATGAGCAGCGATAAAATTACGAGCCTGCCATTGTCGGATCAAGAACTCCTCTTCGAGAAACTCGAGGCGATCACGATCCAAGGATCGGACAAGCGCGGGCGCAGGATCGTGAGGATCATCGGAAAATTCTTTCCAGGTTCGAATTCTTCGTCGAATTCTGAAAAAAAAGAAAGCCTTTTTTTTTTGTCGTCGGTTTGTTGATGTTTTGCTGTTTTTGGCGACAGCTAGGGTTTTGAGCGCCGCCGGAGGAGAGCAGGCGCTGAAGGGGTACTTAGAGAAGAGGATTTTTCCGGCGATCGGCGGGCGGCCGTTCACGGTGGTTTACGTTCACACTTACGTGAACCGGTCCGATAACTTTCCCGGCGTTTCGGCGCTACGATCCGATCTACGACGGCGCTGCCGCCGGCTGTCCGCCGATGGGATCCAGGCCGTCTTCTCTTCGTTCCATCCTGGGGCTCCAGGCTCGCCTTTTCTTTTGGCCAACTTCTTGGAAGGCTTCCTTTTCAGCGCAGGGCTAAGTTGAAGTCGCCGCGGCGCATGGTTAGCCTTTCCCCCATTCAAAACCGATGGCGTTCTGTTTCCGGCGCAGAACTAGCGCGTCGGCGGCGCACGTTAGCCCTTCTAAGAATTTTCACCGCGAATCGGTCAGTTGGGTCTCGTTCCGGCGCACCTTAGCGGCACCGCTGCGCTCTGATCTCACCCCTCCGAAACACGCGCGCTGGCGTGACCCGAGCGCGCCGTTAGTCGCCTAGAATCGAGGAGGAATATTCCCTAGTCCTCTGGCTCATGTTAGCACGCGCGCAGCGCACGATAGCGTCCCCACCCCTGATTAACGCAATTACACAAATGCTAATCCCTAATTACAAACCCTAACAGCCTTTTTTTTTTTAAATAAAATTTTGCAGGCTGTACGGGAAGATGAGGTACGTGAACAGGCTGGAGTTCCTGTGGGAGC